ACCTCAAGTGACTGCTGCTTGGGGGCCATGGGGCTGGTCTCTCACTGTGGTGACTCTGTCCACAATTCCTCTGTCTACAGCTCCTCCAGCAGGACGGGCCTCCTGCAGTCTCCAGCTCCTGCGGGTGTTCTCATGCAGGCCCTGTGCATCCCCACACCCCCGCCATCCCCTGGGCCTGGCAGCCCTGGTCTCTGTCTCAGCTTCCTGGCCTCACTGCTCTGCCTTTCCCAAGCCCAGACCCAAGGGCTGTGCCCTGGCTGTCTTCCTCCAAGGGCACTGGGTCTTGTTCTGTCTGCTCTCTCAGCCCTTGCTGCCCAGGTGTCCTGCCCCCTGCCATGGCATTCTCAGCTTCTGCGGGACAGCTGTCTCTCATCCCATGGGAATCATTGGCGTGCTTAGGGCTTATACACAAAAGCTCCATGGTAATTTGCATGCTGGAGCACCCGCTGATGAGGGGATGAGCGTCATTATCTCTATTGCTCTTTCAAAAGGGTCCTCTGGGCGCCTACTCATGCTGTTCCCTCTGATTGGAGTGCCCTTCCCCACCGCTGCCTCCTAGGGCACTCAGATTCTTCCTGCAGCATCCCTGGGGCCCATGGCCTCTGTGCCTTGCTGATGTGCCTCTTTGAGGTCTGCCACGCCCTAGTACTGGCATCCACCCAGTGCCTCCACAGCGCTCGGAGCTCCAGGCTGTCCCTGTGTCCTCTACCTGACACCCATGCTTCCCTCTCCCCATCTCCCTCTGTGTCCCAGAAGGACGCGAGAACCAGGCAGGTTTCCAGTGTGGCTGGAGGTTGCTGGCAGCCCATGCGGGAAGCCCCAGCCGCCTCCATGTTCTGCCTTGGTTCTGGTGCCTTTCTAGGACTTTCTTACCTGCTGTAGCTCCACAGCACAGCCTTCCCTGTCTGCCGCCATTGCCTGCTCACCAGAGCCCTCGGGCTGTGGAGCTCCCCAGACCTTCTTGACCATGAGAGGGCCTACCTGCCCTCTGTCCTGGAGTCCTTGCTTACTGCCCCAAGGGCCCTGCGAGTGGGCCCCATCATCCTCCTGCCAGTTACTGCCTCGAAACCCCACAGACTGCGGGCTGTGCCTCCACTTCCCCATCTTCCCTGGAGATCCAGAGTGACTGGGCTGCTAAATGCTGGTCTACAGGACATGGTCAGATCTGCTCTGCCATCCAGCAAGGCTCAGTTCAGCCAGGAGACCAGCCAGGAGCACATCTATACCTGAGAAGGCTGGTGCTCCCTGTGCTGGCTCTGCTGTCTACACACCTTCACTTATGCACCAACGCCCCTCTCCTGGAGGCCTCTGGTGCTGGGTGGTAAACATGACCCTGGCTGGGGTTTTCAGTAACGCTCAGCCAGCATGTCTCGCTGTATGCATGTGACTCCCAGATGGTGTCCCTGGCATGGTCCCCCACTTGTTCCCACTGACAGGGCACATGGGCTGTCAGGGCCGACCCCCCATTTTATAGATGGGAATGTGGAGCCTGGGGTTGTGTGAGGGTCGAGCAGGAACTTGTACACTGACTTGTGCTCAGTGGCTGAGGGGCTGGGACTGGCGTCAGATCTTCCTGCCACCTGCCTGGATGGGCAGCCCTTCTGCCTGGTTATCACAGGCCAGGGCGGAGCCTCCCTCTTCTGTGGCTCTCCCCACCCCCACTGGCCGGTGTATCCAGGGTGCTGAGGCCCCACAAGTCCTCAGCTAACTTCCTCTGTGTGATGCTGACTGCTCACCTTCTCTTCAAGCGGCTGTTAATTGCATGACAAGCACGTTCTATTCCTTAGAACCAGAACATGTCTGTACCCAAGGAGCAGCTGGTGGACAGTGTCACTCTGCTGGGTGCTTCTTGAGCAAGTCTGGGAGGCTCCTGTCAGCACCTTCCACTGTCTGTTTGTTCAGCAATTCAGTGCTGCATTTATTGAGGTGGAAATGAAGTGGACTTTCCTGCAAGTGTAGTCAGCTGTTATAAAGTCATAGCAAGTCACACCCTAACTGTGGCTGCCCTTTCACTACCAGTGACAAAACAGTTTCTTGAAAGGGTCCAAACAACAAAGTTTATATTATCTGTCTTCTCTGCCAGCTGGTGCTAGCCTGGAGTTATGCTGGAGAGAGCCATCAGGAAGGGAGCGCTCAGAGATTTACTGGTCAATAAAGGAGACAATTACAGCTTGTTTACGAAGGGATGTCCCCCGCCCCGGCCTTGCGTGGTGTCCGCACCCGTTGGTAATGACAACTCTAGTAACTGGCTTGAAAAGATAAAAGTCAATGGGAAGATATAGGATTTCAATAAAAGTATGACACGCAATAAACCTTCCTGTGCAAACAAATTTTCCACAGATATGTGACCCGTTCCAGTTGGATTTGTAACTTTAATTTCTCACTTATTGAATTTTGAATTTTTCATCATCAACTAATTATGAAGTTCATGCCAGGGCGTCACCTGTGTCCCTGGCTCAGGAGACAGCAGGAAAGCCCCGGACGTGGTGGTCTGAACTCCAGGGGCTCCTGAGAGAGCAGGCCGGGGTTTCCTCAGCCCCCGCAGCCTCGCTCTCCTCACCTGTGGGGAGACGGACAGAGGGCCTGGCAGGGGCTCAGCAGGTGTCCGTGCTGGGTCTCTCCTGGGAGTAAGGCGGGGCCTGGGGGGGTGGGGGGGGCTCAGCTTGTGTATGTGCAGACTCAGAGGAGACCACACTGCAGGGACCCTGGCAATTTTGTGGATCCCACTTCTGGGTAGGGGTCTTGCTTCCCAGGCTGCCTTAGTGAACTGGTCTCTATCAGGGCCATGAATTTGCCCTTTCAGCCAGTATTCGTGGGGGCGGTCCCACAGCTCACCTACCCTCATCTGGTCTGAAGCACAGTGAGATGGTGTGGGGCTGGGCCAGAGCATTGGCCCCTTCCCCAGCATGTGGGCTAGTATGGGGACCATTTCCCGGGTTTGTGAGGTTGTGGCTCTCGCTTCTTGAGTACTGGTTGTTTCCAGGGCAGCTGGCTGGATGCTTCATTCCTGGTAGCTTCAGTCTTCACAGCCACCCCGTTTGCCGTCTATCAACGAAGGAACCGAGACTTGGAGAGGGAGGTTGAATAGCTAGCCTTAGGACAGAGCTGGGGCTTGAACCTGCATCTCATAGATATCCATCTGCTTCTTCCTGGGCTCTGCTACCCCAGCATCCTCATCCCCCAGCCCTCAGATTTCCCCGGCAGAGGCTACGGAGAATAAGATGTTAGAAGTGCAGATTCCCAGGCCTGCCCTGCATCTAAGCGCTACATGACCCCAGGGCACACAGACCTGAAGATTTGGAAGCTGCTCTCTAGCACACCTGGCCTTCTGAAGGACTGGCTTCCTCATCATGTGGTCCCCTGTGGGCTCCCACAGGGGCAGGCAGGCAGGAGAAGGTCCCCAGCCTGTGCCTGGAATCTGCTCCATCCAGACTCAGTGTCTGAGTCCAGAAGGGTCTGGGGGCCATGGTTTAGGCCCACACCTGGTGCAGGCAGTGGGCAGCCAGAGGGAAGATCACGCTTCCTCACAGCGGCATGTTCTCTGTGGCAGCTGTCCGAACAGCTCAGTTCCTGACCCACAGGCACCTGCAGGCTCCACGGCCTTCCCCGCTGGCTTGACCAAGGCCTTTCACCCATAGACGGTTACCAGTGGCTCGAGTGTCTAGGAAGGAATGCACTTCCACCCTGGTTCTGGAAGCAGCACGCATCTCCTGGGACCCCGACTCAGGAGACAGCGCGTGTCTCTTGGGGCCCCTGACTCAGTAGGCAGTGCACATCTCCTGGGGCCCCAACTCAGCAGGCAGTGGGAGTCCTCCAGGGCCCCCGACTCGGGAGGCAGTGCATGTCTCCCGGGCCCCAACTCGGGAAGCACTATGTGTCTCCCCGGGGCCCCCGACTCAGAAGACAGTGTGTGTCTCCCAGTGCCCCAACTCAGGAGACAGTGTGAGTCTCTCGAGGCCCCCGACTCAGCAGGCAGTGTGCATCTCCCGGGGCCCCCGATGCAGCAGGCAGTGTGCATCTCCTGGGGCCCCCAGCTCAGGAGGCAGTGTGTGTCTCCTGGGGCCCCTGACTCAAGAGGCAGCGCACGTCTTCTGGGGCCCCCGACTCAGGAAGCAGCGCAGGTCTCTCGGGGCCCCTGACTGCGTGACTCTCACCGTCAGCCTCCTCAGCCTGTCAGGCAGGATGAAAGTGAACAGGAGTTTCTGCTCGGCTCTAGGAATCAGCCCTGACACTGTGGTCAGTGTCATCCCAGGGAGCTGAGGTTGGCTGCTGTGTGGGGGCCCGTGTGTGGCCTCGGATATCCTGGGAGCTCTGTGGGAAGATGAGGAACTCCCAAGCACAGAGCTGAAAAGTGAGGACCCGATCTTCCCAAGAGCCCTGAGCGGGTGGACAGAGCGGTGGGTTCCTGGTCCCATTGGGACACAGCAGCTTCCTGGGGTATACCGTGTCTCCTCCTTCTTCAGGTCCTCATCTCCTGTCTGTGTCCTCAACAGTCTGCTCAGAGGCCAGACAGAAGTCCCAGGAAGAGGGACCCACGCAGCTTCGGGCCTGCCTGCTGTCATTTCCCTGGGCCCAGCGTGACTGGGACTCAGAGGTGTCACGCAGACCCAATGGTACAGGCTGGGGTGGGGAAGCTGGGCTCTGCCCACTGTGCAGCCTCACCCTGTGTGTGCTGTGTTCACAGAGGTAGAGGCCTCTACTCCCAGCCCACCCCGTAGCCACACTGCTGGTATGACGTGGATATCATGCCTGCTGCAGCAAAGTCCTGGCATGGTTAAAGTGGGCGCCGAGGCAAAGCCAGGGCTGCTGGCATTTACTGGGTCTGGGGGCACCAAGCTCTGGGGCCCTCTTCACCTTGGTGGGCTCTCAGGGGTGCTAGTCTGGGTCCTTATGAGGGAGCCCCTGACATGACCCTGCGCTCATCAGGCATTCCCTGAGCCATCTCCAGCATTACTTCCTCCCCCGCCCGGGTTCTGACCAGCTGCCCTCTGTGTCCACAGGAGCGGGACGGCATGCGGGCCATCCTGGGCTCCTACGACAGCGAGCTGACCCCAGCCGAGTACTCGCCCCAGCTGACCCGGCGCATGCGGGAGGCCGAGGACATGGTGCAGAAGGTGCATAGCCACAGTGCCGAGATGGAGGTGAGGGGCCCCGGGTGTGGGGCTCATGTTGCCAGGTGGGGCCTTCTCCCTGGTGGGCCTTGGCAGAGCCCAGAGGGTAGAGGTCTGGGCCCTGCCTCCCCAGTTCCTCGCTGGTAGGCGTCCATCGAGGAGGGCATCCACGGGCTGCTTCCTCTGCACGTGGATCCGAGTTACTTATCACAGTGGCACCTGCAGCATCCTCAGCTGTCAGGGTGTCCCAGGTGGCCCCAGCCTGCAGGCGGGTGACAGAGGGACAGTGCTCCTTTAGTGGTTAGGGACCCCCCTCAGGATGCCTGTCAAAGGGTCACTCAAGGTCCTGCCCCTGTGTGAGGCATCTGCCAAGGATATGTGTTTACCAAAACCTGGTCTCCGGATACTCAGAGTTGGTGCCAGTGCTCTGGTTCCCACCACTGGGAAGGCTCTGTTGGGGTCTGATGGCCAGGGCCTGAGGCCTAGGGATACCCAGCTCACTGCAGAACTGGAAGAGGTATTCCTTCCTACAGCTTCCAGCCTGCATCCCTCTCCTGGCTCCAGGGTCCTCCCAGGAGAGGCAGTGTCAGCCTTGGCTTCTGCGTTTTCCCTGGCCCATGGGCCACAATGATGCTCTGTGCCTTTCTCTAGCCCTGAGCAGCTCTCACCTGTGCAGGGGGAGGAAGCAGCTGGGCATTGCTGGGCCTGAGTGGAGGCCATGTCCACACTCCTTGGGCTAGGGGCTCCCAGTATACCGTTCCCAGCCCAGGGTCAAAGGGCCCGTGTTCTCTTGGGATTTGCATGGAGAACCTGAGCACAGCGCAGCCCTGCCTGGTTGTGGTGGGGTATGTGCCAGGGTCTTCTGGCGTTGTTGGTACATGCCGCCACAGGGTGACTTGCTGTTCAGCTCTGCCTGGCTCTGTATCTGATTGCTCAGTCTCACTGTCACCATGACTTATGTGGTATGGGTGCTGTTATGACCTGAATTTTGCTCACGAGGAAACTGAGGCCCAGGAGGGGGTCAAGAGACATGCTCAGGTCAGTGAGCTGGTGTGTGACACCACCAGGCCACCTCTTGGAGGGCCAGGGCCTGCGGTTTCTGCTGCCACAGCCGAGCTCTGTGAACTCTTTGGTCTCAGGGCTCACTCTGTCCAGGTTGGGCCTTGATGGTAGAGACTGTGATGAGATGGAGATGCAGATGAGGGCCTTGGTGTGGCCTGTCGCCCTGTCCTAGGCTGCTATGTCCATTTCTCATTCAGCCAAGGACCAGCTGTAAGATGACCTGGGTCTGCCAGTAGTGATCCAGGCTCACAGGCGTGACAACAGCCACCTTGCATCCAGGCTGCTGAGCACACACAGCAGGCCAGGCCCTGTGCCAGGGAATGTCTGACAGAGCCTCTGGCCCCTGGAGCAGAGCTTCTGAGTAGGAGAGACATTTAACGAGCAAACATATATAACATGGGAGGTTAGGAGGTGCTGAATTTACGGAGAAAGGATTGTAATGGACGGTCTCAGAGAGCTGTGCTGCATGGCTGTTCAAGGAAGATGGAAGAAGGAGGTCACCAAACTGCATCTAGAAAGTTGCTTGGCACATGGTTCAGTGGTTTAGAAGGGTCATGGGCACAGAGGCTCAGGCACTGGGGATGGCATGTGGCGAGAATGAAAGATCCCAGCGCAGGAGGCCCCAGGCCCAGGGGCCCGAATGCACTGGCTACCCCTTGTTCGCATGGAGGCCACGCCAAAGGGCCCCAGGACTATGCTGTGTCCTCACCTGTGAGCCCTTACCACCACACTTGATAAGAATGAACCCTGAACTCTGATCAGTGCTGGTGGCATTTGAGCCTGCTCCAGCCCCTCTGGGCCCAAGTCTCCATGTGTGAAGCCACCCTCAAGACACTGGTATTACCCCCTGCTGTGGTCTTCTGATGCCCGGCCCCTGCTGTCTGTCCTTTCTGTGTCCAGTGGCCCCAGGTGTGCAGGGCCTTCTGCTGAGGGCCTAGACCTTCAGTCCTCATGGAAAAGGTTAGCTCTGTCTGTACATGGGAGCTGTTGTAAACCCAAGTGCATTAATAGCCATCTCATTACAACACCCTTGGCTCCGAGTGAAGCATTAACAAAAAAAGATTTGCAGGGAGGCTCTCTGACCCCTTCTGCTGTCCCCAGTGTTTTTCACGTTGAGTGATTTCTCCAGCCTGTGTTTGTCCTCTGCACTCTGAATGTCTCATCACAGGCCTGGCCATGTGCACATCCAGTGTCATGAGTTCTGGTGTTTCATGTGTTGAGGCGATCAAGGCTGTTAGGGACCTCAGGACTCATTGATCAGATGCTGGCACTGTTTGGGCATCTTGCTTGCCACCTTGCCAGGCAGCTTGAGAGCCTCGGCCCTCACTCTGCTAGTGGGATGTACACTGGGGACCCTTCCCCTCCTTTCCCATGGTGGGGTGTGCGGGCAGGTTATTCCCCTTCCTGACCGTCTCCTGGAGTTTCAGGAAATCGGGCACATGGAGAGTTGGGTCCATCGGGACTGGAGCAGAGTCGGACGCCACCAGCACTGACCAGTCCTTGCTCCAAGGCTGTCGCTGTCCTCACCATGGGAGTTCACATGGCTGGTCCTCCCCAGAGCCCTTACAGCCACCTCTGCCCATCCCCCTGGGTGCCCTCTGGAAGCAGGCCAGCACCCGCAGGCTCCTCCCAGGACCCCTCCTCACTAGCCCGTGTCTGTGTTAATGGAGACAGCCATGGTCTCCACTGCTGGTGCAGATCCCAGCGAAGTCTTCTGGGCTGCTCCCTGATCCTGTGCAGGTGCCACTGCCCTCTGAGGTCTGTGGGGCAGCCACCACCACACCCTGCATGACAGTGTGACCCCGCACCTTGCCTCATCAGAGAGGGTACTTCCGTGTCAGTCCTCTCCTCCCAGGAGCCTGGGAAAGGAGTCCTTGCCCTTCTGCATCAGCAGGACCAGTCACCTGTGGAGCCTCTGCCCTGCTTTTCCCTGAAGCGATGGTTGGGTGGGAGGCTGAGGGTGCAGGGGGCTTCTGGGCTTGGTGGCCGCCTCGGGGGAGCCTCTGCTCCTGCCTTTCCCCTAAGCAGCATTTGGGCAGGGGGCTGGGGGTACAGGGGGCTCCTGGGCTGGGTGCCCACCTTGGGGGAGTATCTGCTGGGAGCTCCCCAGCTCTTGGCCCTCTCCACATAGGTGGCTCATATTCAAGAGAACGTGGTCCTAACTCTGGTAACCAAGCACGTTTGCAAAGATGAAGCTCGGGGCCCAGCAGGAGCGCTGTGTTTCAGGGATGGTTGGGGCGAGAGCCAGGGACGCCCCCGTAGAGGCAGGGGGGCTGCTCTGGAGACCCTGCATGTGCCTTGTATCTGGCTGTTGCTTTCTGTGAGGGCCCGTCTCCTCTTTTCCCTGTGGTCAGTGAGGCTGCCGTGGATCTAAGTCTGACCTGTGAGCCTCCCTGTGGCCATTGTGAGCACCCAGGGCATATTGGAGCTCTGCTTAGGCTGTGCTGATGGCTGGGCCCGGGGTAGATGGGAATCTGGCTGTCGAGTTTCCTGTGTGGGGCGGGGCTGCCATGCAGGGACAGTACCCTGTGCTCCTGCTCCCAGGTTGGGCTGCTGGGCTGAAACCACTGCTTCCTTGCAGGACCCCTGCCTTGGGGCTGAAAGGTCACTGCTTTCAGCTCCTGCATGGCCACGGGAAGCCCCTGGGCCTCTCGGTCACTCATGCCTGGGTGGAGAGTGGGACCCTGGGCCGGGCAGGAGAGGCTTACATGGGTGTAGAAGATGGCGGTTCCCACGACCCTGTCTGTGGGACCAATGCCCATCCCAGCCCAGAGGTCCACAGCCCAGTCCTCCTCCCCTCTCCCGCCTGTTTCTGGCTTTAAGTCAAGAGCGCATCTTGTGAAGCAGCTCAGTCCCTGGGCTGGGGGTCTTTGAACCCTGTATAGCCCCTGGTCGCTGGAGCTAGCCATCACACTGATCCTGTTAACCGAGGTATAAACACCTGTCATTCCAAGGCTGTGGCCCCAGGCACTGTACTGCACCCTGCACTCTCATTAAACTGCCCGCCTGAGGCTTCAGGGTAGGAGTTCCTCTCCATCTTCCAGATGAGGAAGCTGAGGCATAGGCTGGGAGAGCCATGAGCAGATCGCTGGGACCTGCCGCAGCCCAGCCCTGTCCCGGCTGCCTTCTCCCCTCCCTGCCTCCCGGGGTGAGGTGCCAGCCTCAGCTATGGGGCTGGCTCTAGAGAGAGCACCCACCCTCCCTGCTCAGTGCCTGAGTTCTCCACACCCCTCACCAGGCTGGGCCCTGCTTCTGCTCCCAGCAGGACCCTGAGTGGCAGGAAGGCCGAGGGTAGCTCTGTACCCACTGAGTAGTGGCGGGACCCTGTATCAGCAGCTGTGGGCCCTGCCCTCCAGCCTCCCGCCCCCTGCAGGCCCCCCACTTGGAACGTGCCCAGCTGTGATAACACCCTCCAGGTGCTGGAATCAGCAGGTAGCACTGGGGATGCCCTGGAGGCTTGGGTGGGATGGGCCTCTCTGCTTCCTGTTATTCAACAGTAATGCTTTCCGGATTTCCATAGGGGAGCCTCCGCAAACTGCCCCTGCCTGGGAGCAGAGACCTCTGGAAGCTGCTCATGCTGCCTATCTGGTGTGCACTAGCTGAGTGTGGTCTATTGACACAAAATAAGAAGTTATCTGCTGGGTATGGTGGCTCATGCCTGTAATCCTAACACTTTGGGAGGCCAGGGTGGGTGGATCATGAGGTCAAGAGATTGACACCATCCTGCCCAACATGGTGAAACCCCGTCTCTACTAAAAACAAAAAAATTAGCTTGGCCATGGTGGTGCGCGCCTGTAGTCCCAGCTACTCGGGAGGCTAAGGCAGAATTACTTGAACCCTGGGAATGAATGCAGTATAGGGTGGACAGGCTGTGGGGCGGACGCCCAGGCCCTGGAGGACACTCTGAGGGTGGTGGCAGGTCCTCTCATAGTGGAGGGGACATGACTTCCATGTGAATGCAGCAGAGG